AGTTGCATAGTTTAAGTTAGCGGAAAGAAAAGGCCGAAATATCAGATGGCCTGAACGGAAAGACCAGAGTGGGGCGTATGCGACCCACGCGGCACGGAACGTGTTAATAGATATTGCTTGTTATTTAAAGGACAGTAGTTCTTGCTTAGCGTTACTGAGGTTTACAATGTGAATGTAGAACCTGTAACATTGGATTATGTGAGTATTGAACTCTGCTTCGGGATTTACGACATCTAGAAAAATTATTAATTTTTAACATATAAAAAATGCTAGTTTTAACGTTTATAATAAATGATATAAATGATGAATTTGGTTGAAGCCTTAGCATTTTAATTTTTAAATAATTGCAGGTACAATCTGTATGTTTTGCAACAAAAGTGAAAAATTATTCGTCTCAGCGCATGTTTTATCGTAATAAGTATGCTGCTATAATAAACGCACATCGTCGGACATCCTAGTGCTGAAAGGGTTAATTGACATACTATAAACCAAGTAAACGCCAGACTATGTGTTGAAAGATCACTTCCGAAAATTTCTATTTTGTGGTGTTTCAGAAATCCCTTGCAGTAAAAACCAAAAAGTTAATGTTTCTTACGAAAATAAAGAAACTTCTATAACTTTGGCGAAATTTTAAATATTTATTATGAAAATTATAGATACTTTATATGTTATAGGCAGCAATGTTAAATAATAATTTGAGAATAATAACTCATAATTATAAAAACTTAAATAAATAGTACAACAGGTTAACACTAATTAAATGCATTAAAGTTTATAACAATTAAAAAACAGAATACATTTAAAAAAATATTACCCTTAAGTAAATATTTTTTTTTTTAAATATTGAAACTCGTGGTAAAATAATATTTTAGTGGTAAATATTCGGGACCTTGAGCACCCTCCATTGGTCAGACGTAGTATACGGGCCGGTACTGTACATTACTACAGCGTTTCCGCCACTGTTTTTGCCGAAATTTTTTCCTTTACATACTTAATTAATTAAACATACATTCTCGCAAAAAAACATATAGGAGTTATCAAAATAATTGCAATTTGGAAGTAAAGTTAAATTGTTTTCGGTATAGATTGCCACTTTTGATTATTTTAAAATGCCCGCAGTCAACGTGCCGTAACTGTTTGGCACAGCACTTATAACGAGTGACATGCATTACCTTAGATTTTATCAGTTTTTCAACGACCAAAATCGTTTCATTATTTTCAAAGGCTTGTTTTACAAAGCATACTTGAAAGAATTAAACGATGTTCATTTCAAATTGATTGGTAGGAACAGTGTTAAATATACTTTTGCAAATTTAACATCAATTGCTATTACGTTAATCAGTGACAAACAAATTATTATACATGCATTCCAATAGTGCATCTTGAAATGGAGTTTAAATATCGCCAGTAAGGCGGTTGTATTCTGCTAAGTTTGCCTAAATTCTCAAAATTATGATGTTGAATATTTATCTCGAAAATCATTTAATATAGGAAGCTAAAATTTTATGCAATTTAGTTTCGCAAAATTACTAGTAAATACACAGAATTTGTACAAATTAGCGACTATGGTTACAATTCTTGTCAGATTGAACATGGAATGACTCGTCCGTGGTCGTGTACGTGGTAAAGAAAAGATGAGGCTTCTGACCATTCCTCACCATTCTTGGACCCTACACTGCCGCCGCTTGAAGGGAAGTTTTGGGGTAGGTAAATGATTTAGACAAATAGTTTTCAATCAGCTGTCGCTAATAAGAGAGCAAGAAATTTTAAAGATTACATCGATTATTGTTTGACGCAGCATATGTGGTTCAGAATGTATTATATACCCAGCGTTGCTATCGATTTTCTGGTGTCAGCGAACGTGTTAAAAACAATCGAGAACTATGACCGCCATCGACAAGGAAAGAGAATAGACAAAACGAGAGTAAGCGAGATGGACGTAGTGCGTGAAGCAGCGAGGGTTAATACCCGGCACTTGACGGGGATACCGTCTGCGTTGCAGTGAATCATCCAATATAAAAAGCTTCAATTTCTCTAATTATCACCTTACCTTCATGAACATAGTACAAATTAATTAGTACGATTTACTTGATGTAAATGAGTCCAAACACGGCATAAATCAAAGTAGTTCTGCCAGTCGTTAATTTAAATATCCCAGTTTTCAAGGATGCTTTAAAATATGATTACTCTTAAGGCTAGCCCGATTTATGTCGTGTTCGGACTCATTTTCACTGGGAGAAACTCAGCGAATCAAATTGGGATGGAAATTAAAGAAGTTGAAATTTTTTATATTGGATGATTCATTACAACGCAGACGGCGTGGCTGTCAAGTGCCGGATCTTAACCCTCGATGCTTGACGCACTACATTCATCTCGCACACTCTCGTTTTCTTGTCAATGGCGGTCATATTTCTCGGTTGTTTTTAACTACCGAATCTTTCTCACGTTCTGCGATTGCCACGCGACACTTTTCAAACAACAATAGATGCAATCTTTAAAGTTTCCTGTTCTTTTATTAACGACGGCTGACTGAAACGTGGAGGCAACAGTATACGATCCAAGAGTAGTCGGGATGGCTTATCCGCCTATTTTCCCCTCATTTGGTGGGACGATGACGTCAGAAGCCTCATCTTTGTCCTGCTGATCCGTAGTACAAAGTGTTAAAATTCTAAAGGGAGAGACAAAAGGTAAAACTCAGTATCTTTATAGTGCGGGTCTGTGAATATGAAAATGTGCAGATTTCGCAGAATTATAATTTAATTTTTTCGTATATCATAATAAGTGTTCCTATATGCATTCTAAACAGCATTTGATAAACATCAAATTGTTTCGTTTCGTTCTTTTATCATATCAATCAGTCTCACTTATCTGATATTGACAGTTCCTCTTTGCAGAATTCTCATGTCCGCTTTATACCGGGTGAGGCACCTAAGATTGTAAGCTGAAATATTTTCAAAACTGTTAATTATATCGAAAAATGCTTTAAACAAATGTTGAATGGTCTCGAGAGGAGCACTGTTTAATATAGCATTTTTGTAAGTGCATGCGTAGAAAACATAAGAAGGTCCAGGTTGTTTTTTTAAATGGAATTGTATATTTTTTAATGCATCAATTGATTCAGCACATCATTCTCTATAAAAAAGTGTTAAGCTATTTATACCGAGAATTGAGAAGTCATTACTTTAGAAGATATTTTAATTAAAATATTGCGGAATAGTAGGTACTCTTTCAGAGATCTTAAAGTCGTGTGTAATGTAATGAATATTTATTTAAATCAATTGTAAGAGTACCATTGCATAATATTTTAATTAAAATATCTCCTAAAGTAATAGCTTCTCGGTATATGTTAAGGATACTTAAGTTAGACTCTGCTATTTTTGAGATTAAGGTTTGAATACGCGTTTAATGTTTTCGTTCGTTAATTATTCCTTACTGTCAGGAGGGCTCCAAACCTCTCATAAAAGCGGAGAATTTGGAGTTTTCTTCGTGCATCTCAATAGCAACTGACGTATCATAAACCCGCGCGAGCCAAGGCACATAGGGCCCTGGGTTTTTCTCATAAGCCCAGGTGACGCGTACTTCACGCAAAACACCCCCTCCTTGAGGGTGAGTGGTTGGCGTTGGGCGGTGACCAAGGCCCGAACGTGAGTGGGTCTTAGCCTCCCACCCAAAACTCACCCCCGTCAAGGGACCCAAATGCGACCAGGGAAGGGGAAATGCGAGGGCTGACCGGGGCAATGCACCAACGAGACAGGCAGAACACAAACAAGGTTAATAGCAAAAAGTTCAGGCGATCACACAGTCGCTACATTTTCAATTGATTCTCGACGACGTGTCAGAATTGAACAGTATAATTAACACTTTTGAAAATATTTCAGCTTCCAGACCTAGGTGACTCGCTCAGTACATGATATGCATTATATATGATAGGTAAAATACTTCATCGAGCATATAGTACATATGTATATCATTTTAGCATGTAACATGCATATTTAGTTTATCATTTCAATTCTGAGTTGAATTTTAACGGGACGTTTTAATCTCGATATCACTAAACATGAGAATTGTTCTCTGAAAGATTATGGAGAATAATGTTCCCCTCTAAACAATTTATGAGTTACGCCTTGATAAATATGTGAAAACTATTAGGTTTGATACTTCTTTTTGAATTTTAAAATCACATGTCTCATATTGCACAATTCATTAAAATATTGTTGCCGTAGGGACATTCTTACTATCATTTCAAATACAATAGTTGTAACTGAAAATTTGTTAGACGCTTGAATTTTGAAAAACAAAATCAACACAAAAGCTTAGTAGACTCAACGTTATAGTTCGTTAATCAAATTGTATAGACAGTCATGTTCAGTATAGGTTAATTTTCATTCTGCTCCTGCTAATTTTTAAAAATTGGAAAAGATATGTTTTCGTGAAATTTATTTTGTTCTATATTTGACCAATTTTTGTAAAAAGAAATGATAAAAAGATTTATAAAAATGTAATTTTAAGTTATAATTCTTTTACTCATATTGTTCCTTACGAAAAACCAAGAGAATTGTGTATTTAAGATTCTTTCGACCTCTGTTCATTTTTAAGTTATTTGCATTAATTGTTTTGCAGCTGGTAACTTTGTAGATTGATTTCACTTTCAGAACGTGTACGTCTGCCGATATAAAAAACACATGTTTAATACTTTCGAATTTCTTACTTGCATGAAAATCAACGTATATTACTTGGACGATACTACTTATATAAAAAAATGTCCAGTTATATCAATATAGTGAATCTATAGAACAGAACAAGTTTAATTATACTAATTGCAACAGGTTAATTTATTTCATAAATGTTCGTTAATTGATTACATTGGTATATCAATTCTGATCAACAAATAATTCACTCAACTTTTATGAAAACTTGAGCAGCAATGCCGTAAAATCTCTTATGCTTAGTTAATGTGTGCTTTAATCACGTCATCGAATGGAGGTTCATTCCTGTTCCAGATACTGAGAGACATCCGGCAAGGTTTAATGCAGCTTGGCCGGGACGGACGGGGTCAGCTCCCTGGAGGTAAGTACATCAAGGACTGTAACCTCTAGCCAGTTGTCTTGCCACTTCACAATGTACAACCAGTCTCCTTGAATCAGCTATGCGACGTCCTTGGTTTCGTTCTTGTGTGCGTGCTTCTGTCAGAATGCACAAGTGTGTCTACCTTGAACAAACCGTGCACGTATTAGACAAACTGGGAATCAGCTTCCAAATGTCGGATACTTCGTACGTTCTCCATATTCCCTAGAGACAAATTTCGAGCCCTTCGCCTAATTCTTTTAAGAAATCTCGTTACATCGGAACAAAATTTTCTCACGCGCAAAAATTCCAGAAGGGATTACATGTACTTGATTGAAATGAAAAAGGGTTTTTTTTTAATGTTTGAATTGGAAAGTAGTGTTTAGCGTTTTGAGGACGTTTACTATTATGCGTGAGGACCGGAAAAGTAAAGACGAGGCTTCTGACATAGAAGCAAACGAGCGGAAAATAGGCGGACACTCCATCCCCACTATGCACTCTGTGGTCTTACACTGTCTTCGCTTGAAGGGAAGTTCTGGTTTAGGTAGATAAATGGTTTTCAATCAGCCGTTGATAACGTAGCCCACTCATAAAAGATCAGGAAACTTTAAAAATTGTTTGTCACCTTTTCCTTCTAATGTAACTTAAAATTTGATAAATTTTGTTTTATGGGGTTAGTCACTTTGGCTTCTGAGTGGCTCAATAGCATCTAGGACGTTCATTTCCAAATGACTCATACAACAAGCTGTTACTGTAAAGGAGGCCTCAGAAAATGTATTAATATTTTCTAAGAATTTAGGAAAGTAAAAAGCAAACATTTGTTTGCTATTCCTAAATAATAAAAATGATTTTCTGTACTTTAAAAAATTGCTTATAAATCCCAAAACTTTCCAACAGAAATGAAAAGAAAAGCCACCAAAAGCAGCAATAATATAAACACGGTACATGTTCTGTAATCGATTAATTCTAACGAAATCAAATAAGAAATAAAGACTCTATCAAACATCGAATAATTTATTTCGTAAAGTGACAAATAAATGTATTTAATTTTTGTACGAAATACTTCATAAAATACTTGTGCTATTTCAAAAATAAAGTATTTCTCAAATAACCTTAGAAAGTCGTTTTAAAATAATATTATTTGAAAAGTTTTCAAAATACACGACCCCATATGACACCAGTTGTCGTAGGATAATAGTGTGTGAACGAACCGGTATCTCTTATCACCGGTAACCACTAGTAGGTTGGAGGCGTGGAGGAAGCAGTGTACAGTTATTATTGGATACCACTAGGACAGGAGGTTGGTTGTTGCTGACCACTCGATGCACGGTTCGGTACCGTTACCAGCGAGAAGGATTTTGTCCGGACTGTCGCCGGAAGTCCCCCCTCCCCCGCGCATATACAAATATATGAAAGATATTTCTTGCCTATAAATGTGGTTATTGCTACGCTCAATCTTTGAGAATTGTTACCAAAGTGGTACACACATATACAGGGTGTTCTGTTTAACAGGAAACGGTGGAATACCTCACGAGGAATTGAAGTTATGAAAAAAATGTTCTTGCAAAAGTTGTTTGGCATACAGGGTGTCCCGTAACTCCTCGAACACCCGGAAATGGGGGATTGCTGGGGTGACTCTAGACAACTCTTTCCTTTACCAAAATGTTGTTTGAAGCTTCATTTTTGAATTATTAACGAAAAACACTGGCCAATCAAAAAAAAATGCGTACGCGTGACTTCTCGGTTATCGATCGCTGTCAAAAAATTTTGACTTTGCACCGCTATTTTTATAAGGCTTAGAGAAAATTGCAATTAGTCGGAATCGCGCGCGAATGAGCCTCTGTTCTTCGTCCCTGAGCGCGGGCCACACGAATGAGCCTCTGTTCTTCGTCCCTGAGCGCGAGCTCTACGCGCTCTCTGATTGGCCAGTGTTTTTCGTTAATAATTCAAAAACGAAGCTTGAAACAACATTTTGGTAAACAGTTGTTCAGAGTCACCCCAGCAACCCCCCATTTCCGGGTGTTCGAGGAGTTACGGGACACTCTGCATAGGGGGAACTTAGGTGGACCAAGTCGAATTAATTTTTTTGACTACAATACCTATACAAAACTTGGCCCCATACCCGCAAGAAAACTATTCGTTGCGGAAAATTACGAAAAAACTGGAAAGACCCGAAAAGACGTATCTCCCTCATACGAAAGGAAAATAACTCTTGGGCTAAAGAAGATCACGATATAGCTGAAACTTTTGCAATACATCTTTCGAAAGTTTTTAAACTCAACGGCAGCGCGACATCTAGTAACGAAGATAGTGTCGTTATGGAATACCTAAGCCACCACAACTCATGTCGGTAAACCTATTAACCCCTTGCGGACGGAGGACTACGTGCCATGTCGAAGTACTGATTACTTGTATAACATATAGTTAGATCACTACTTTAGTTGTTTTTTTAACTGAATTATATCAAAATTACATTTTCCTGAAATATATGTACATAGATATCTACGTGAGTTCTTCATGGTCACGTCAACTATTTTTATTGCTTAAAAATATATGAATTTGTCGGTTGCGTTCATAGTGCTTTGTGAACGTATATATGAGTATATCGTCCTGAAAGGGTTAAACACTTCAGTCCCAACGAAGTGACAAATGATATAAAATTGCTCAATAATAAAAAAAAGTACCAGGATACTTAAAAGTAATACCAAAAAACAAAAAAAATAATAGTCGCAAAAACGCAAATATATGCACAATCATTGTATCATTAAAATACAATACTTCCTAATACAATGGAAATTTGCTGAAATCATTTTCGCTCAAAAGCCAGACAAACCTCCAACCAAAGTAACCTCATATATGTAAGCCGATTTCTTTACTACCAGTTCTGTCAAAGCTATTTAAAACTCTAATCGCCAAAATGCAAACATATTCTTAACCTGTAGATCTGCGACTATCATCTGAACTATAATAATAAAGAAATATTGATAAATAAAGAAATGACAAGGTTTCAAAGGAATTGCTTTCGATTTTAGCAAAAGAAAAGAATGGTGGTTTTTTTGACCGCAGACTGAATTTTGAAAATATTTGTACAATTCTAGTTCGAACGATGAAGCAACATCTACTGAGTATACCTGACAAATTGGGAGTGGGTCGGACTTCTGGTTTTTTGGCAATCAGGTCTGCCAGTTTGAAAAGTGCGTTTAAGACAAACTCCGGCAATCAAAAGACTGAGAAGTACAAAGCCATCCGACCTGCAGAAGTAGTAAACAATGAAATGTAGTTGAAACACTATTGAGTGTTACTCACACGTACACGATATCTACATATATCAAATTTACTGGTTGACTTCGTAGAGCCAGTTGTAAATATAATATAGATAAAAATTAAGAAAAGAAAAATAGTAAATTATTAAAGATGGGTGGTGATGTGATCGGCAAGTCAGTGTACATTTTCACCCCTGGACAGTCCGCCACTCATCTTGGGAGTCCGAGGTTGTAGAGTGATGGTACGCTGCGTTAGCGCAGGAGTTAGACCCAAAGATGAATGGTCCTGACGTATACTAATCGTTCCTTCGCTACGTCATGGCTTTATAACACGTTAATCGTTATTGAGGATGTAAGCAAGGCGCTAGCAAATTTTCAACATTGAAAACGTTTAACTTATTCAAAAGTAGCTAAACTAGATGTCTATGTGACAAACCCAATTAACTATGAACTAAATAATCTAAGCAGCAATGATCCTTAAAAATAGTTTAGTATCCGTCAAAGTACTGTCAATAAAATGCTACTGCTTTACTTTCTTCTCCTCGAGTTCTTCCCCTACAAAATGTCGCCTTTAGGAATGCGGTTGAAGTTGATGTCAGGTTAAAAAAATAATGAACTTTGCTGTACATTAACACATTTGCGTCGGATGACGCACATATGCGTCATTCAGGTATTCACTTGGATTCCGAATTGATACATTGAGATTTTGTCTGAAAGTAAATTTATAAAACGCTGTAAATGATTGAATTTCTTTTCAGAAATGCCGTGACAGATGTTTCACGAATTCTAATAATTGTATACGTTTTACGAAAAAGTAATTTACCACATTCTTGAAAATTTCTTTGAAAAATAATAATTAGTTGAAAAGTGACGATTAAAACCACCCCGTGCACATGTTAGGCGCTGCTCTAAAATTCTAATAATTGTATACGTTTTACGAAAAAGTAATTTACCACATTCTTGAAAATTTCTTTGAAAAATAATAATTAGTTGAAAAGTGACGATTGAAAGAAAAGACGCGAAATCACCCCGTGCACATGTTAAGCGCTGCTCTAAGAGCCCCGTCGCCAATGTGTTAATAGTACTTATAGGCCGTTGCAGTTCATAAATTTTATTTCTTTTCAATGGGTTTTTCTATAATGCATTAAAAGCCATAGAAAGGATCAACTGAAATGACGAAACTAGTGTTTCGAACAGTTAAATTACATATTACCGATTTATTATTGGCTGGACGGTTATATTTGCAGCTGCGTGACCAACGATTAACAGCAACAGCATCAATGTACGTAGCCCTTTCGATACTATATACTTAGTACAGTATACTGGTCAATCTCGTTATCGTCATCAACCATCGACTGCTTTGTCCACGGCTCCCTTTTCCGATACTCTAATCCTTTCTTGCACCCACATACAGGATTCTCAGGCACTTGATTTCGCTCAGTCTTTCGCATCAGCAGCACTTGAGGTCTTCTTACGTCTCGAATTACATTTGCATCATATTATACTACACTTTACGACAAGAAAGAGCTTAGTATTTCTGTAAGACGAATTTTGTACGCTTTATTGCTTGACATAAGGTGTGTTTAATGTCCTGATACTGACCGATGTTCGGGTCGCGTAATGTTCGATGCTCAATTGCCGAACCGGTACGCGAGTTTAATCACACCTTGATTTATTCAGTGTGAAATGCTAAGAACTAGT